GGCCTGACTATTCTCAAAGTTTTGTGGTCAATTTTCAAAATGACTTTCTCTGAAGAGAGTGAGTGAGGCTGGGACAGACTCACTATACCCTTTTTATGACACAGGCTTAGAGGTTCCATAGTATCACTTCCACGCATCTCTATTGCTGGGAATAGTCACAAGCCCACCCAGATTTAGGGGAAAATGAAAACAGACTCATTCTCTGGATGAAGAGTGAGTCTGCAGAGCATATAAGCCCTAAAATATTGCTGTGTCCCTCTTTGGACAATTTACTTTTCATATCTGATACATTGCTCTCATCATCAGAAATGTAGATGCATACCAATTCTGCGAGAAAGCCCAGTCTTTACACGGGAAATACGATGGGTAAAAACATGAGTTCTGGCCTAAGGTAGCCACTTAATATGCCCCTAACAGTGAATGCATGTCTCAGTAAACCTGAATTCGGCTCCAGCTCTGCCAATTATTGACCTCAGGCCAGTGTCTGTCTTTCTCTAAAAGCCTCAGTTTATCCTTCTGGGGGCAATAATTCTTATCATATGGCTTCATTCGGGGGATTCAATGACATACAATACCTTCCCTGAAATGTTGCACCCAGTGCTTGGACCATAGTAAACATTCATTAAATTATTGCTTTTTTTCCTGTCCTATTCTACAAGATATTGGAAAATATAGAACTTAATTCTATGGCTAAGAGCTCCATGTTCTCCATTTCAGTAATCACACTGTTCTAGCCATGAAATGGGGCCAATTTTCAAAATTAAAATAGGTATCTCAGAACTCCCACTTTGCTGTGGCCTCTCATTTGATGCCAGAGCCCTGTAAATCACTGACAACCTCAGTCTGAGCAGCTGCATTAACAGAGAGCTCAGTAAATTCTAATGCCACTGATCTCATCAGGGAAGTTTGGTTGAAATGGTCCTTCTCCTTCTTAAGTTAGATCTCTATCCCTCCTCTACCACCCACTATCTTCACAGAAAAATAACACTGATTCCTTTTGTTCATAAAAATTCACTAGGACAGTATAGCTCAGTAAGTAGGATGCCGGCCATATACACTGAGGCTGGTGGATTCGAACCTAGCCTGGGCCAGCTAAACAACAGTGACAACTTCAACAACAACAACAACTACAACAACAACAACAACAAAAAGAGCCAGGCATTGCAGCAGGCACCTATAGTCCCAGCTACTTGGGAGGCTGAGGCAAAAGAATCACTTACGCCTAAGAGTTTGAGGTTGCCGTGAGCTGTGACGTCACAACACTCTACTGAGGGTGACACAGTAAGACTCTGCCTCAAAATAATAATAATAATAATAATAATAATTCACTGGGACAATGATTGCAGCTTCTCTGTACTCTTCTCCAGTCTGAGCACATGCGATTCCTAAGCTTGCCTTGGTTCTTCCCAAACAAAGAGGACTCAGAGGACAAGAGAAGTCCAGGAAAGTTGTAAAGTCTGGAATGAAAGAGATGGAAGAGGAAACTGTAGAGCAGCTATCAGCACCCTCCTCAGGTCACCTTGGCAATCACTGTTGTTTTATGATACCAGTGGTTTTCTGACTTTTGGCCAAATGCCTTTGTTAAGTTTTATGATACCAGTGGTTTTCTGACTCTTGGCCAAAATGCCAATGAGTTAAGTCCTCTGGAGCAGCCCACAACCAATGATGGGAGAGAGTTGGGTGATCAGTACCCCTATAGGACATATCTGAGTCACACTGTATTCTGGTGCTGTCCAAAAAATACAATGTGAGTCCTAAATGTGAACCTCAGGTATAATTTTAGATTTTCTAGTAACCACATTGAAAAAGGAAAAAGAAACAAGTGAACCCAATTTTAATACTACTTTATATAACACAATAATCAAAAATGTTATCATTTTAGCCTATAATCAATATAAAATTCATGGTAGATATTTGGCATTCTTTTTTCTACACTAAGTCTTTGAAATTGCAGTGTATTTTACAGATATATCTCAATTCAGACAAGCAAATTTCAACTGCTTATTAGCAATACGTGGCTAGTGGCTATAGTATTGAACAGTGTGATTCTCTACCATTGCCCAGAGGTCCCCAAGAGAACTGAGCCCTGGTTATCCTCAGTGGAACTTGCTCCTTGACAGCACCCAGTCTTGACTTTAACACTCAGACATCTGTCTCAGTGTTCCTTCTGAGATAATCTGACCTAAGACAGGATTCTGCTTGCCTTTTGTAAACAGAAGGCTCAAAGTAAAATTTTAATTAAAAGTTCAATTCCAATATCCATGTAGAATGTCTGATTTTTAAACCACATGATCAAAAACCAAAGCCTTTAGATGATCGCCCTGTCTTGAATTAACTTCCATGAACATAATGTTATACTGGCCATGTTTGTTTATCCTGTTCACATGAAGTACCCTTAGAATATCCTTCATCTGTGAGAGGCACAAGGACTTTGTCTTGCTGTGGCTCATTTTCCTAAGTGCCATAAGAACACATTTCTAGACAAAGGGAGTTGACTTATTTTAATGAGATTTAGCTTGCTATCCAAACCACTGAGTGATTTTAAGGAAATTATTATTAATGTTAATGCAGAGTCTGCAGGGGTTGGAGGCAGCATTTGAGGGCTGGCAGCATGAATGGAGTCATCATTTCTGATTTTAGTTCCACCAGGTTTCCTGGGAGTTCTGTGTCTAGCAGCTGGATGCAGCTGTTCAAATCACACTCAGTGGCCACGATGCTAAGCCAATCACAAAGAGTGAGATTGGGAAGCTACTCTCTGTTTCCTAATATCCAAGTGCTGAAATCAAAGGATTTTTGTGCTAGATGGTTCCATGGTGTGCCAGCTGGCCTAACATTAGTGTGCAAGCTGGCCCCATTCAGATCTCACACTCGAGCATAATGGTCTCCAAGTTGAGTCTGAACCAACCTTCCAAGAACCATAAACTGTGGTATTCTGTGGCCCTGAATCATCTCTTCTCATACACATGGAAGAGCTGGAGGGACTTTTAAGAATGGAGTTGACATTAGTCAAGGGCTACTTGAGCAAATCAACCTGCCAATGAACGCTGTGAAGGACAACTGAGCCAGTGGGGTGCTGGTGAATGGGCTCTGTCTAGAGAGTGCCCAGATGCCAAGACTCTGCAGTTTTCTGTGTTGTAAACACACACCCCGATCAGGCTCTCAAACAAGGAGTCAGTGAATGTGTGAATTGAGGCGAGAGGAGACAATTAGTGGGTGTGTGCTGGCTCAAGTCAGTTTCAGTACAGCTCTGCTGAGCTAGCCTTAAATTGAGCCTGCAGTGTGTGCCAGTCACTCAACACACATGAACTCATTTAACACACACAGCACCTCTATGAGGCAGGGACTGTTATCATCCAGGCTTAAGAGGGATTAGTTCCTTGCTTAAATAGTAAAGCCAGAATTCAGATTTGCATGACCCAAAGGCTGATGTCTTAATTTTATTGTTCCTGTCTCTAAATTCTTGTAGTAAAGAGAGACAGGAGCATCTCAGAAGGTGTTAGCCAAGGTCTTCTTCAAGGGGAGGCCTTGCCCCCAGGTGAGGTATACACAGCAGACTGGCTTAAATGCAGAGAATGTCTTTTAAGTCCCTTAATCACCTTCCTTAACCCTACATGGTAAATGTTCTTCCATTTCCATGACTATGCTCTGTTGAAATTACCTCCACCCTGAGCCAGCAGAAAATCAGCAGTTACTTATAGCAACTCAACCACCCAAAGGTAGGTGCACAGTTGAGTTTCTCAGGGCAAAGCCATGTTCATGGCAAACCCCCAGGTTTCCATCCTCTACCAGAAGCAGAGGAAATCTAGAAAACAAGATTCATTATCAAGGAGAAGCATGGGGGTGCTTTTGATGAGAAGCAGAAGCACATCTCTCTTTAGCAACCCCCAGACCAAGAGAGCTGCTCCTCCCGAGCAGTAAGCAAAACCGTGGGTACAAAGGCCATTATGTATTAGGCTGTTTCATTTGAACTCCCCGTAACACTTCACCCATGGGTGTCATGAGACGACACAATACCGTGGGTTAGGTGACCGTTGCTAATTAATATGCAGCCAGGCCCACCGGCTACCGAGGGAGGGCCCTCTATGTATTTCAGAAATAATACCTTTTGGGTGCTTAAATATCTTGAAATGTGGGCAAAGAGATGTCTTTTTATATCTTACCCACGCCCTAGGAATT